TAGGAAATTCAAACACAAAATATGAAACAATTCCGATGAATAATATCGCTAAAATGTGCAAAATACCGAGTATAAGGTGGTACCGTAATATGGAGGCTATACGAGGACGTGGACCTGCATAGCAAATTTTCTGTCATAGGCTGTAGTGCCCATTACGAACGAATTTGAAACTATTCCAAAAACATCAAAATACCGAATATAAGGAGGTACAGTTATATGGGGGCTATATCTAAACGTTTTTTTCAATACCAAACGTCCTGCAGACCAAACACACATTTGAGTAAAATTTTATCAACCTATTCAATTCGCTCGGAAGCTAGAGTTACGGACGGACGGCCATCTTTATCATCAAGAAATTTGTGGGGTCTAAAAAGTATATTTCGAGGTGTTACAAACGGAATGACAAACTTAATATACCCTCCATACTATGGTGGAGTCTATAAATGTGTGGATGAAGGTAACTTTGCAATGTAAACTTTCAAAACACGGATACACAGGTCTTCTATTTTTAGGTCTACTTTCAGAATGCAATTATTGAACTGCAATAATTTTGTTGCACAGTTTAAAAAATCTATAAACTCAAAATCGACTACGTGTGGTCAACTTTGCGATTTTAAAGAATCGACAGTTAATGATCAACTTAATTGAAAATGATCAATGATCAACTTTTTATTAAAAAGATTTCATTTTATTTATTATTCAAATTTTCCAAGATGCCCAGAAAAAATGTAAAAATTGTTTAAGCTCATAGTGAATCTATGACCACCAATTAAGTCAATAGAAGAAGCTTTTAATTCTTAATTCGACTTAATTACGTTTTTATTCCGTATTTAGTTCCGTAATGTATGTCACTAAACCCATCCCTGCCATCTCTGACAACATTCTGTGTAACCAATCATCTAGTTTGCCCTCTCAATATTCCAACAATGCATGCTGCTTCCTTTATCACAAAGAGTTGTTACATTTATGACAATATATATACAGTTAAAAGTACTTTTCAATGGATGACAGACAGTCAGCCAGCCAGGCAGGTTGAAATACTTATTTATCAGATGGGTGGGAGTGGAAACGTTGTAGGTTAAAATTTTATAGAAATAGTAGACTTAGTAAAGTATAACACTATAACAACAATATGATAACCAACATCAGTGCCGGCTTTTCAAAGATTCTGTCAGCTGGTATTATTCTCTAGAATGCACTTTGAATTCTATGCAATTTTATACAAAAGTGTCTTCGTTGTTGTTGTTGTCTTCGTTGCTAGTTGTTTCATAATCATAAAATTCCACAAAGGGAATTCCTTTTGAAATACGATTATCGATGATAGAGAATAAAAAACAAATATAAAGAAACCCAATATATTTGAAACAACAGTTGGAAGAGTTAAATGTTTATTGCATCGATATTTAATGTTATTGGAATTGATGTGAAACTGATATGGAGGCAGAGGTTAAATGGAAGTTCAAATTTGGAATCGGGTACGGTTCAATTACTCTGTATTTTATTACGAAGCTTAGCAGCCATAATTGATTTTTGAAAAACGAATCTAACAACTATAATACCGTTCCTCTTGATAATTTACTGCTTTGAAAACTTTGACAGCAAAGTTACTTAATTAGTAATTAAGACTTCGGTTACTTTCCTGCAAAACGTACATCTAAACTACAAAATGTAAACAATTCCTCCGTAGCAAATGCAACGCGTAATATGCAAATCTGTATTGACGTATTTCAACAACCGAACTTTAAATACCCTCCACCATTTGGAGGCAATTAGCAAAATTTTCAAAAAAAAAAATATCTGTTGATAAATACTGTTAAAATAAAAAAAAATGCCGAATATAAGGATGTACCGTTATATGGTGCTATACGAAGACCTGTTGTGGAATTATCTAATTCATTTTTTGAGTTACCGACAAAAGTCGATGCTCATAATTTCGGCAATTAACGAAATTTGTCGGAAAGTTAGCGATGAAATCAAAGTAGTCGCCAAGACCTGCCGATATCAATGTTGTTAACATTAACTTCTTTTTTGTGTCAAAATGTTGGGTTTTAAAGTTGCCGTTTCTTGTCGGTAACTCAAAAAAAAATGGGTTGGAGAATACCACTACTGGACATGCGGTAATTTATATCCAATTTTATGCGAAATAATAAATTCCATATTCATCTCAGGTTTCTGGTTGGAGAAATTTTTAGATATTCCAAGATGCAAGGAATCACTGGCTTCTTTCGCAAGTTATGACGGATAAAGGTATTAGCCCTTTGTGGGTGAGGTACCAGAAAGGGTTCGCAGATATGTTTCATCTTCACAACAGTTCTTGTGTTAGCAACAAGTGAAAAAGCTTTAAGTTCGGCCGGGCCGAACTTTGGTACGAATTTGGCAATTCTCAAAAATAATAAAATCGATTAAAATTTCCGTTAAATCTTAAAAATACCGAATGTAGCTATTATATTAGGGTCTATATGACGAAATGAACCTGTGTAGGTAACATTTGTCATAAGCCATTACAATATTCAAATGCGAAACATAAAAAAAATCGGTCATAATGTAGATAAAATCAAAATACCGAATATCGGGTGGTACAGTTATATGGGGGCCATACGAAGACGTGGACCTGCACACACAATTTTTTGCCTTAGGCTGTAGTATCCATTACGAACTTCAAATACCAAATTTGAAACTATTCCGTCGCTAAAATGTCCATTGGAAATGCTCATAGTTATCCTCTGAGGATCTCTGGCTCTAATGTATATGATTAATCACACTGTGCAACAAAAATAATGTTTTCCTATAATTGCAGGAAATCTCTAATGAATTATGAACGTAGAGCTACAGTTTACATCCCAAAGAACCGTAAATAGAGAAAATTTAGGATTAAATTTTTTTACATATCGGGTATTTATTGTCTTCGGCCATAAAGTGATAACAAAACGAAGATTATTTTGATCAAAACATTTAACACACAGGCGAATCACTAGAGGGATCTCCTTAGACCTTTTCAAATAACAATATTCCACAAAGTTATTTATCATAAACTCCAAATTTAAGATAAACTTCAGGACTTCATAAATAAAAAAATACAGTTTAGGGCTAAAGTCGTGATTTTTTGTTTTAGAAAGATAACCTCAATAAAAAATGTTCTTAATACGTTTTGCTATAAGCCATATGTCTTTATATCGCTATTTTTTATATATTTAGAAGTTATTTGTTTCAATTTTGAGAAAGACGCGAAAACCTTTCCTACTTTTTTCATGGATTTTTTTCCATTGTAAAATTTATCTAAAATCATCAAAGCAATTAATTTTAGGCAATACGCGCGTAAGACCAAAATTTTAGCCATCTAAGTCGATCTTATTAAAAGTCAGAGTGATTACTCCAGATCTTAGATTTTTAGCTGATCCGATTATATAAATTAAATGATTATTTCTATTATTAGTTACAAACGGAATGACAAACTTAATGCACCCTCCATACAATGAGTGGTCGGTATAAAAATTTTGGAGAACCTAAAAGTATGCTATGATAATGCTGAATGTACTTGCTACTTGTTTCGCCAGTTTAAAATATCTGTTTTTAATTGCAGTTTTATTTTTATTGCGGATATTTAATTTAAATATATATTAACATGTCGCCAAAATATTATTTCATTCATTCCCAGGACGCCTCTGTGTATCCAGCAACATTGTTTTTCTGTAAGAGAATACAAATATCGTTAATACCAAGCTTCAGTTCGATTCATAAAAATAGGCATAAAATTCTGTAACTGAACAACCAATTTAAAATACATATATGCATTGTTTGAATCAATCAGAGTAACTATGACAAGCAATATCACACCCTATCGTTTTGCTATAAAACCTAAAACAGGTTTATAACAAGAAAAAGTTGATAGGATCGCTTTGAGATTTTAACATCACTTTGAGTTGTTCAATCACAAACATAACTAAAACAAAAAGCGAATGATTTTACGTACCTTTGGCGAGAAGATTGCGTTGTAAATTGCCCTTAATCCAAGATGCTACTTCAGATGACGGTGAGATTATTTTCCTGAAATAACTATAATAAAAACTATGCCTAAAACAGCCTCATACTGTTTCCTGTATTTTCATCAAATCCAGTCATGTCATTTAGCCCTAAAATGTCTGAAAATATCTCGGCCTAGTCTAAATTCCATTCAAAACTTTCGTTTATAAATTGCTTTACAATTATATAAATATTGATTCAATAGAAACCCTATGCGCAGATTTAATATTTTTAATTTACCTCCTCGATAATAAAATTATATTGCGGCATTGTGGATCAGGAAAATTTGTCCATGTCAAGTAGTTGACTTTTCAAAAGCATTGTGTTTACCCAAATTGAAGCTGATAATGGATTAATGTTGGAATTTTAAATCACTGTTAGTTCAATAAGAGCCTAAATTCTATGTTTTAAATTATAATATGCTTAACATTCATGGACATCTATGGAATTTGGAAATGTTGACAGATACAAAACGTTGATGCTACAACTCCCACGTTTTCTTTAAGTTAAATTAATCCCTCGTCAGTTCCACCAAAAGTTCTCTGTCCTTAAACAAAACTTAGATTTAATAAAAAAAATATCGAAATTATTTTTATCTTTTGTTGTTACTTAAAAACGTAACCCATGTGAGTTTTTATTCCTTTGTCTTGTGCTCGTTTTTTTAACACGGCCAACTCCTCTCGGCATAATAGCGCGCTCTCTAATACAATACGTTTGTTTGTTAAAAAATAGAAGGAGTGTACAATTAAAAATTGTATTTAAAAAATATTGTTTTAATAATAAAACATATAAACGGTTTATTTCTTGGACTTGATTTTCTTAAGATAGAATTCCAATTCTTTGCCTTCCAAAATGTAACCATCGGCACGACCGCATTGGCCGGGACGAGATGAGACACAGGCTGTAAAGAAGAAAGAACAAAGTATTGATTAGTAAGGAATTTGATTAAATATAACTAAATACAGAGAAATGTTTTAACCAATCAGAGTAACTATGACAAGCAATATCACGCCCCATCGGCTTGTTACAAAACCTAAAACAGGCTTGTAACAATATAGGTGATGGGATCGCTTTGAGATGTTAACATCATTTTGGAAATTTGCGAATGTGGTTACAATTTCTGTTAAACAAATGTTTTAGGGATCAAATTATAGAACTGGGTTTTGAATAAGTTGAAGTAATTGAATATTGAATTAAAGTAACCCAGTCCATAGAACGGATTGCATTTCTAATAAATGGTCGTTGGAGGAAAAGTTATCTACTTAGGCAAGCTTAATTTAAACATTGCCTATATCTAGGCTGGAAGTGGAAAAAATGCTTGCATTGGATTTCAGGTATATCGAGGATCTGATACCAGTACTCTCATAAAAAACCTTGTTTATACCCTGTGGAAACCGGCAATTTCATTTAATCTATTTTATGTTTATGGTCATATGAATTCTTGGTATTGTATGCCACTTTCTAATAGACAATATATTTTCACTGCCAATATTTCGAAACGCCATTTTCTAAAAACCTATGCAAAATGTGGACACATGCTTTGATCACTGGCCTTAAACAATAATTGTTTCATTTTTCAAGACCGCCCTACACTTAATCTTCACTATGGACACATTCCATTTATCGCAAATATCCAAAAAATGGAGAATATAACCTAGTACTTGTTACTATTCATGACTCATTATTATAATCTCTCCTTGATGTGACCGTAGGGTTTGATCCATAACGGCGCTTTTCTAAATTAATTTTATAAAAATACATTTTAATTTGATCCCAAAACTCTCAACAAACATATATACACACACAATACAAAACACAACTCACCTAAGAGACGACCAGAAACGAATTGATCTTCCAAAGCTTGTTCAACCTTGGCGTACTTTTGACGTTCCAAGTACTTCTTCATGGTCTTTTCGCTGCGCTTCTTGGTGAGCACATCGTTGTCATCTTCCTTTTGTTGTTGCTTGGGGTTACGTTTACGGCCCAAAGGCAAAACGTAGTGGGATTCATACCATTGACGGAAGGGGGTAGCGTCAATGACAACAATGGTGTTCTTTACCAAAGTCTTGGTACGGACCAATTCGTTGTTGGAGGCATTGTAGACAACATCAGCGATACGGGTCTTGCGGGCAATACCCTCGGAGGCCCAGGCAAAGTTACCGTTTTCAAGACGGAGGGCACGGAGCTTGGTGTTGCCACCGCGGGTGCGTACGGGATGGATGCGGCATCCGCCCAACTAAAAAAGAAAAAACAAAAAAACATTAGCTTTGTTTAGCTTCCTAAACAAAGATCATTGGCACAAACAAAGCTTCCATCAACATAATCAGTAGTCCGAACATAATAACGCTATTCATCAATGGCTAAGTACAGTTCCAAGGAACTGAACTTTGGTTGCAGTTGACACGCGTTATCATCACAGAAGACAGAAGCCAAATTTAAGCCGGTTCACCTCATCTGGGAGAAGACAACAAAACATACCTTGGTGTTGGCAGCGGGACGACCCAACTCGAACTTGCGCTTCTTGCGGAGGGATTTGCGTTTGCCACCAGTGGCGCGGCGCTTGTGAGCACTATCGCGGCTGATACCTGGTCAAAGGATTGCAGGAAGAAATTAGTCAACCATTTTTGTAACAATAGTATTGTATAGCTTTTCCAAGTTTCATATCCATTCAAGAAAATCTCAGAACTCTGCACTGCACTAACCACTTGCGGTTTTTCATTTGTAGTTTTCATAATTTCCAATATAATTTTTCAAGTTTCCACAAATTACATTTTACACATTGTTGGCTTCACATTTGTTGCAGAATTTATTGGTTTTAATTTAATTTATCAATGGATGTTTTAAGATTTTCTTGAATATAATTCACTTTGTCGAAAAAACCGCACTCACCCATCTTGAGTAAAAACAGAGAAGGAAAGGAAGCAAAAAAGAAACGCGATAGCTCGTGTCACACAAACGTCACATGTTGATTGTAATAGATTATACAGTGTTGTATTTGTTTGTCATTTCCCCCATGAGCTGTGTTTAGTTGGTACTAGCAAGCCAGTTTGGTGTCGTTGAGATAGCGCAAAATTAAAATATATTTGTTCTTAAATAAAATAGTATGAAAACACTTTTAAATTAAATAAAAATTATGGTGAAATATAAAGGTATTGTATTTGTTTGCGTACGTCCAACCTCTGTCTGTAGTTTGTTTGTGTTAATTGATATTTAGAGAATATTTAACACAAAGACCGTCAAAAATTACAGTTTTTGCCATTATCATTTTCTTTATCATTATTTCATAAAGAAAGCTCTGAGACATAGATTTTATTTGTTGTGTTATTTGTTTATGTTAAACATGATGGGAAAAATAATAGAAACATTTTTGCAAGTCATTTTTAATAATTCCGTAAGCTGGCGTTTACACGAGATAAATTGCTTTTACGCAAATGACTCAGAGTTGTATTTTACTATCACACACATACTGCGCCGATTATTTTCATTGTCAAGCATTTTTTAAAGACACTAAGAGCAAACAAATTTAGAAGAAAAAAAAACTATGTTAAGAAACAAATCAAAAGAATAAAGTAATAATTAAAAATAAAAATTCATATTATTAATTTGAAATATTTCCTGACCATTTTATGATTGTTAATGCAACTGTCTGAGCAAATATGTCACACTGGTCATTTTTTACAAATAATTCATGTTGCTAAAGATAATAAATGGAAGATTACAAATGTAGATGTGAATAAGGGACAAATAATAAATTGCCGCCAATTATCCTTTATGATATCAAAAAATGCAGAACTTGTAGAATCATGCAGATTTTTGGAACAGAGCAATAGTAAAATGTTTCGTTCGTCTATATTACCATGGTACAATAAGGAGGTAGAACAGCTTCGTTAAACTACAGAAATACAGACCTAAGGCTATATCTGCTTCATACAAAATTGTCAGACTCATACAAAATTATATACAACAAGTTGTTTTCATTTTTTCCATAAATCTCCTCATTTTTAAATAAGTTAAATTGCGCGAAAAATTAATTATATATAATTAAAAAAATTATTTAAAAATTATTTTCTCCAAAAATACAGGCATTTAATTATGGCTAAACTGGTTAATAGCTTTAATGTGCGATCCGCAATATGCGTGTCTTCCAATAATTGGCTTTGAAAATATTTTGTTTTCATTTTTCATGTAATAATAAACAAATACACAAGTCAGGCACACTTAGAAAAAAATGTAACCAGCTGGTAGCTCTACCTTACATTTTTATTGTACCATGGAATGCCATTACCGATTTGGCAAATGAGATTGTTACGTAATCCTGATTGAGTGTTAAAAGTGACCATCCGGCTATTAGCGGTCTCGGGGTCTGGTTCTCAACCGTGAACTTTGTAACACCTCAGGACGAACATGAAATTAGAACTTCACACATTACAAATACTATACTCTACACAAACATAACACCAGCTCAGACAAGGGAGATTTGATGTTCCTACTCCCGAATTTGCCCTCCCTTCCAATGTCTTCGGGGTTCCCTTTTAAATTAATTTTCTGAAGACCCCACCCGACTCAACAATATTACGAGTATGGAAAAAATTACCCTTTTTGCTTTTAAATAAATCTTCAGAGATACACAGAACCATGGTACAATGAATACAAGGTAGGCTAACTTTGAAAAAATAGCAAGTATAGAGGTCTACCTGTTTGGCTTGTAATGTCAGAATTCCTATCAAAACAATAAAAAAGCAAACAACTTGTTGCATTGATTTTGAATAAATAATTTAAAACCGCGAAAACTGAATAAAAGGTCAACATTTCTTTTCAGAATCATGTTCTATATATCTCTTATGGTTAATTTCGCGACAAAAACTGTAGACTTTGTCGATGCATACGTTGCAATAAGCATTTTGAAAACACTCGAATTTGAATATTTTCTGAACAATTTTTTTTATTATTGAAAAGAAGACACACATATAAGCAAATGAAGTTGACATATTAAGCCAGAAAAATAAAAAAAAATTGAAATCATATGGTAGTTCTGCCCTACCTTGAATTCATTGTACCGTGCACAGAACCATGGTACAATGAATTCAAGGTAGGGCAGAACTACCATATGATTTAATTTTTTTTATTTTTCTGGGTTAATATGTCAACTTCATTTGCTTATGTGTGTGTCTTCTTTTCAATATTAAAAAATTGTTCAGAAAATATTCAAATTTGGGTGTTTTCAAAATGCTTATTGCAACGAATGCATCGACAAAATCTACAGTTTTTGTCGCGAAATAAACCATAAGAGATATATAGAACATGATATTGAGAAGAAATTTTGACCATTCATTCAGTTTTCGCGGTTTTAAATTATTTATTCAAAATCAATGCAACAAGTTGTTTGCTTTTTTATTGTTTTGATTGTAATTCTGACATTACAAGCCAAACAGGTAGACCTCTATACTTTTTTCAAAGTTGACCTACCTTCTCTTCATTGTACCATGCACAGAACCACGGTACAATGAATTCAAGGAAGGGCAGAACTACCATATGATTTCAATTTTTTTTTATTTTTCTGGCTTAATATGTCAACTTCATTTGCTTATATGTGTGTCTTCTTTTCAATAATAAAAAAAATTGTTCAGAAAATATTCAAATTCGAGTGTTTTCAAAATGCTTATTGCAACGTATGCATCGACAAAGTCTACAGTTTTTGTCGCGAAATTAACCATAAGAGATATATAGAACATGATTCTGAAAAGAAATGTTGACCTTTTATTCAGTTTTCGCGGTTTTAAATTATTTATTCAAAATCAATGCAACAAATTGTTTGCTTTTTTATTGTTTTGATAGGAATTCTGACATTACAAGCCAAACAGGTAGACCTCTATACTTGCAATTTTTTCAAAGTTAGCCTACCTTGTATTCATTGTACCATGCACAGAACTATGCTTACGGAAAATGCAGAGCTGGGAATGGCAATATGAAATGAGGTTACCTTTATTTAAATTCAATTCAATTATGATTTTTGCAATTGCTGGACGGGTTGCAATAAACATCGTTTGCTTTGTTCCAGAAACTACAAACATTTACCATTATTTGCTTTATAAATTTGAAAAATTTTGCAATTTTTTTCGAATGAGTTCGCGCACATTTTTTACAACTCCCCTAAACACAGCATAAATAATTTATGATTGGAATAGAACAGACTTCCGCCACAAAAAAATCAACTCTGTGTCGGGCGTACGTCGTAAAATAGTGTGTTTTGTTAAAGTCCTATTTTTGAAATGTTCACAATATTTAGCCCATTCAGACGAAGTTTGGATGAATAAAGATTAGTTTATTTATTTTTACTAAGCTTTAAATTTGGAAAAATATAGAAAATCTCGAAGTTTCTCAAATATCATGCGCTACGCTCTCTGTAGAGGAATTAATCGATTTCCACGCATCGATGGGTTTGCCAAACGCGATTAATCGGTTGGTCGAGTGTCGACCTACAAAGCCCTATTGCCAATCAAAACCTGAAAAATAGCAGACGCAATAAAGAAAAAACGCAGCTGGTTTTTTCCATTGAAAAACACCTTTGAAAACATCTAAAAATCGAAAGAAAATACCATAACGAACGAAAAAACATCGCAGCAAACGACGGCAATAAAAATTAAAGGTGTGTAGTGCAAAAATATTGAGTTTTAGCTCGAAATTCCTAACTTCATGATTGAGCAGGAGGGGAAGTCTGCATTTGTGAAATAACGAAAAAAGACGTGTTAACAAATTGTCTTCTTTATTGCAAAATATATACAGATATGAGTAATACAAAGATCGAAAAAGAAAACAGTTAAAATCTACTATATATGTGAAAACAACAACAAAAAACAATGCGAATGCTGTGGCATTATTGATTATTCAACTGAACAACAAAAAATATATACAACAAATCTGGCGATTGTCGCTGTGGAGGTGTTTTAAAAAAATCATCTGTGTCGAAGAAAAGACTTCAAAAATGTGTCAAATCGCTTTGGTTTTGTATTTTTCTTCTAGATGCGATAATTGTTTCGCGTACCCTTTGTCTTCTATGGCTTGCTCTATGCTGCCAATCCTAGTTTTTCGAGCAGCGATTTATCTCGAATGAATACAACCCTGTCTTGGTGTTAGTAAATATGGGACATTACAATCAGCTGAAATGCTTGTTTTTTAAGCCACTGTTTTAAAGTACTTCACATCAGTATGTCCATTTTGGTTTTTGTGTTTTGAGTGTTAAATGAGGAGTACTTCCAATTTCTTAGAATACAATTGTTCTTGCTAGTTAGAGATTGAGTTTCATAGAGTTATCCTATTACAGCAGTCTACATTTCTTAGCATCCTGTCGTAGGTTATTGCTGACTATCTGTAGTAAGATATGCATACCTATGATGCGTCCCTTTGCGCGCGTTATTATCTTACATTCTGTTTTACCCCTTTTTATAAACAAACAAAAGCATTTTATCTATTCAAAATCATTATTATGTGAAATACCCAATTCAAAATATTTTTGTATTCCGTGAGTCACTGCATCCAATTATAATCTAACACACAAATTACATATCACTTGTAAAGTTAGTAAATACTTATTATGTTGCACTAAATGCGTGGTTGTGGACTTTGGAACAGTTGTTGTACATTAACATAATCTGAAGCGTGAATCTTAGAGTACACTAACTTTTATTTAGTAACCGGACACCTCTAGCAGTTTACAGATTGACAAGGACATTTCTAAAATTAGATCAGAGTAAGATTCAACTGTTGCTTGCATTTTTTACTCAATTTGTCTTCGTACAGAATTTTGTATGTTTTACCTTTTTGGGTTCGGCCTTTAACGAAACCTCAAGTCCATATTTCGTGACTAACCCAATTTTCCTTTTCTCGACTTTGAAACTATTACTGCATCCAAACACTTTCTGATCAAAAAATAACTATTTACCTTGTTCTTTACAGGCACAATTATTTTACATCATCTTGAATAATGGACTCAGTTTTGAGTTCCGGAGGTTCTAATTCCTCCGGAGATAGTATTGGAGGCATAAGTAATGGTGGGCGCAATAATGGCAGAAATAACAATAAACTGCAACGTGTTGGTGATTCGACACAAGGATCACATAGTGAGGTTAATGCCGAAGTTAAGAAACTTTATCAGTAAGTATAAATTATTTATATACAGTGGTGGCCATATCATATGCAACTAAGATTCATATACGTTAAAAGGCGATATAAATTTGTAAATTTCACAACGAAGTATATAAAGATGGGTTAATTATAGTCAATACGTTCTTACGATTTCAAATTATTATCAAAATGTGCAGCTTTTGTTTACATCTCTATGTTCACAGGTGTTTTGTTGACAAATATGAAATTTGGTGTGGTCAAAACATATGCAACTTTATATATTTGGTTTAAATAACGGCATTTTTACAATTTCCTTTGTTCTATTGTTCTTCTTATTATTAGCTAGAGACACTGCGTGAAGAGATTTAAAGCTACCTTCACATTTTTATTGCGCTGTTTTTTTCACAAAGCTAAAATAGAGTTTGTTCAAAAATGGCACGCGATAAATTTGGATTTGAGCTCAGACAACGAATTGTGACTGCGTATACTTCTGGATTATCACAGAAATGTATTGCCGAGAAATATACCGTTCATAAAAGCTCCATATCGCGCATCATTAATAATTACAAAAAAAATTCACAAGTCTCTGTTATACACCGTGGTGGTCGAAGTCGAAAAACAAGCGATCGGACGGACAAATTAATAATCAGACACGTGAAAAAAGACCCATTTATATCTTCCTCTAAGATAGTGGAAAGATTTCAGTTGCCAGTTTCTGCTCGCACCATCCGTAGAAGACTTTTACAAGCCTCCCTCTGCGCAAGACGTCCTGCAAAAAAACCACTGATATCGAAGCGAAACCAGAAAAAGCGTTTGGAATTTGCTAAAGCTCATATAAATTGGACAGAGTGTAAATGGAGAACTATATTATTTAGTGATGAGTCCAAATTTAACATCATTGGTAGCGATGGCATGTGCTATGTAAGGCGACCAGAAGGAAAACGACTCGAAGCACGTTACTGTAAAAAAACGGTCAAGCATGGAGGGGGCAATATAATGGTGTGGGGTTGTTTTTCTGGTGCTGGAGTTGGCCCACTGCATAGAATTGTTGGTATTATGGATAGATTTATGTATAAAGACATATTGCAAAGGGTAATGCTCCCATTCGCAGAATATAATATGCCATTGCGGTGGGTCTTTCAACAGGACAATGACCCCAAACACGCTTCGAAGGTGGTCAAATCGTGGTTTGCCGATAATAGAGTTACGGTAATGGAATGGCCAATCCCCAGATTTAAACCCAATAGAGAATCTGTGGGAAATCGTAAACAAAAAAATTGATCGAGAAAATTGTACAAGTTTAGATGTTTTATTTTGCCGGCTGGAAGATGCCTGGAAATCAATCACAAAAAGCGTCATTGACAATCTTATAGCGTCAATGCCTCGAAGATGTCAGGCTGTAATCGACAACAACGGGTTTGCAACAAAATATTAACTTTATTTACACTTTACTGAGCTCGATTTAATTAGTTGCATATGTTTTGGCCACTTCATAATAAGACTGAATATCTTTTTCAATTTTTTTTTTATAAATGAATTCAATATCTATGGAGTATATGTTTTTTTCTTAAACTACAAGAAATAAAAAATAATATTTAAAAAAATAATTGCATAATTTTGTTTTCAGAAAAATTTTTCACGGTTTTTGGTAAAGGTTAGATTTCAGTTGCATATGATATGGCCACCACTGTATATTAACATAATATTTTAATAGATTCATACGTTAAGCCGCTTTTGGATCATACCAATAATATGTTCATCGGTTATAAATAATTAATGCGTCAAATTTTTTCTCTTCTCTTTTTTGCAGACAACTTTATGTTGTAGTAAAACAATTGGACGAGGAAAAGAAACAGATCTCTGGAATATCTGAACTTTTCCAAAATGATTTGGAACAAAAGCGGTCACAAATCGTGCAACTGTGTATACAGATTATCTTCAAGGATTATCAGTCGGTGGGCAAGAGGGCACGTGAAATTATGTGGCGTAAAGGATATTATGAATTTATAGCATATGTCAAGAAGAACTGGGCCAAAGAGCTAAAGGATCAATCACAGCCGGGCGCACAGGAGAACATACAAAAAATTGAACGATTTCTTTGTGCTGGCATTTTGAATTATAAACGTATTGCCGCAAAAATGGAGGAAATCTATGATTTGGATTTGAAATATTTAATTGATTTTACCATCATAAGTGATGCCTACTTGAAGGAGATAAAAGACAAAGATAAACAAGGTGGCGCCAAGGGTGATGGCTGCTGTTTGGATGTTGATGACATCAATAATTATGCGGTTGATAAAAGTTTGGATGCCATATCTTTTGCATTGGATAGCATTCATTCATCTTTGCTAAGTTTGGGTGACTTACATCGTTACTTCCTGGATTTCCGTATCGACACAAAATTGAAAATCACCAAACAATTGGCAGCCAAATACTATTTTGAAGCCTTTAAGCTAAATCCGGCCATTGGTATGGCACAAAACCAACTGGGCACTCTGTATTATGGCCAAAATTATGATTTAGATTCCATTTATCATTATCTGTATTCATTGGTAAGCTTGATACCATTTGAGCTAAGCGAAAACAATGTATGCAAACTATTTGCTGCCCATGCTGACTATCTGACAAAAATGGATCCGGATAAAATTGAATTCAGCTTGCAAGATTTCTATGCCCGTTTCTATTTAATTGTGGACATATTCTTTTTCGACAAGGAAGTTCCCGATTTCAATTCCTTGTGTCATTGTGTTTTGGTGGATTTACGCAAAATTTTGTGTTCGAAAACATTTAATGTCAACGATTCGAGTATATTTAAGATTGTATCAATTCTCTTCTTCTGTTTGTCCAAATTAAAGATGATTAATTCTCAAAAAGTTTATTCATTGAATGCCTTTTTGGTTGCTGTTTGCTCGGATCTAATGGACGCGTGTATTGTTAGTTTGGAACAAACCATATTGGCCAAAACAACGGAAAATGAACAATTCCATGTCATGTATGCCAAGAAATTTGAGGAATTCGATATGATGGTACGCAAATCACGTAATGAATATAAGAACTGGCTGTCTACCATAGGAGAAGCGGAACGCAAAGAAAAGAAACAAAATCAAACGCTATCACAAAAGGATTTCTCTTCGGATTCTAGAGAATCGCAAAGATCCCATGATGACTATATCTGCAAAACGCAAGATAGCAATAAAACTTCAAAGGATGATAATAAAAATGATGGCGAACCGAATTCTACCCGCTCATCGGATGAAGCCAAGGAAAGTGATTTGAAGACACCCCTATCGTGTAAGAGTAAGAAACGTGGCATGAAATTGAGACGACGTCGGCGTAAGATTGCTCAATCGGACGATAGTTCCTGTTATGATACTGAGTCCGATATGGATACGGATTTCTCCACGGACGAGGAGGATTACACTGATTTGAGCTCAAATTTCGACACGGACTTTAGCGATATCGAAGCTGCCGAGCCGGAACCAGAAGCAGAGCCTGAACGTGGTGTGGAAGGTATGTTAAATATTTCAAATATGCTATTACTATATTTAGGGTCTATTCCTGCATTATGGTACCAAAGTGATTGCGAACGAAAAACGCAATTACATAAGAGTTTTTCAATATTTTTTGAAGGAAAATAAAAAAAATTGGAATCATATTTGGAATGGTGTTTTTCGTTATCATTCAGATTTGTGAGGTCATATTGAAATCGGCCTTTAGTGATCTATATGTCATGCTAGACAAACTGAATTTAAGAATTTTAATTTATTTATTTTTGTTGTTTTTTTTTTTAGAAGAAGCAAACACCAAACACAAGCATAATAATTTGTGTCATAGCTCCCGTCATGGCTCCAAGGAAAGTGTCTACACCAATGGCAGCGCTGGTCCCAACTTTTCTGACAATGAAGACATTGTTATTGAGGAAGAAAATATAATCTACCCAGATCAGGAACAAGAAAAGTTAGCACACTTAACTGCTACATCGGCTGCTCGTACTAGCTCCCAAGACATTGATTCCGAAGAACTATTGAAAAGTTTTGAAATACTCCAATTGAATTCAAACAATGCTGTATTGAATTTTACAAATTGTGATCAACACGATGATACTCCCAAAAATTACTCAGGCAATCCGAAACCCAATGAAGAAACTAAAAACACCGAAGAGCCTCCCAAGAAAATGGTCTATCGTAATAAGTACACTAAAATTAATCCCAATATTGTGGTAGATTTTGCCCGCAATGAGCCAACCATACGCGCTTTGAAAATACTCTTCGATTGGTTGCGTATTAATCATGAAATTCTATTCGGTTGTTATCATTCGAATCCCGAGTTTATACATAAAATTATGAAATTGTTAAATTATTGTAATATTGATATATTCACACGTAAAGTGTTCTTTGAAAGAGAGTTCCTTACCACGCCCAATGTGCGTCAATCATTGTGTGATCTGTTTGATGTTAGAGCAAATGTGCCGTTATCTGAAGATTTCGTTTTTAAGAGTTTCGACATTTTCCAATCGACGCAAATAACGCTGGATTGGGAAACAACCATACGCGAAAAAGTCACAACCGAAGAGGAGTGTATATTGCGCATTTTTAAAATGGTCGATTTCGGTTTCTTTATATGCAAACAAAAGAAGTTCAATTATCGCTTCTGTGTAAAGGCTCGACGTTTTACCGAGAATACGAAAAAGAAACGTGAAGAGAAGAAGTCATCATCACGTCGCCGCGAAAGACGTACCGCCAAGAATGCTGCACGTAAACGTACCGAAGGTCGTACCCGACGTTATTCGGATCGTAAGAATGGTATTGTACGTAAAAGTTATACCAGCAATGAGGAGAAAGACACTGTGGAGGAGTGCAAACGTATGCCACGTAAGGGATATTTACGCAATCGTAATACTGAGAAATCGAACAGCAATAATGCTACGGCTGGTGGTGGAGGTACCTCGGCATCGACTACCACAAATAGTGCAATTTGTGAAAAGATTCAATCGAGCAGTGGCGCTGATGAGGAACGCTCCGAAGCCATGTCTAAAAAATGTGAAATTATGGGAAAGTTATGGCTTAAGAATGAAGTTGAAACTTTGGAAGAAGAGGTATGTTTTAGTGAAGATGGTTATTTTGGTTTTGTATAATAAATATTTTGTTTTTCTAGCTGCGCAAAAATCCCATTAACATGATAATGACTCCGTTTTTGGTGGTAGATGCAAAGGCCTTGACTGAATACAATGGCATCGTTAAGAATTTGGTTAAAAGCAAGAAATTTATTGTGCTTATTCCCAATGCTGGTAAGTATTATAGCTGCTATAAATTTCATTGGCCAACCCCTCTATGGGAGGAAAGGACTTTCTCTGTAATGTTTTCATGGGGTCTTCTTTGAAGGAGATCAAGTGATCTTCTATGAAGGGACTAACTGGTCTTCTTAATAAGATCAGCTGGTCTTTTATGAATCTTCTAAAACGCTAAAAATTTGGCAAGTTTAAATGGCAAAAATAATCCTTTTGCAGAATTTTTATATTATTACACATTCTGAGAAAATCTCTGTAGCATCTCCCTTAATATTAAAATTCTAAACAATTTAATTTCTCTTCTAGTTTTTAACGAATTGGATGACTTAAAGAAACGCAGTGAAAATGCTCGTAATGTCATACGCTGGTTGGAGCAAGAATTCAAACATGGCAATCGTCATATGCGTGCCCAGAGGGATAATGAAAACCTGACACTGTCTTTGATTAAAATACCAAGAAAATTGGGTAAGTTATTTTCTTCAAAACAATGATCCTTTGTCAACTGTATAATTTATATTTGTGTTCCCTCTTTTTTTTAGATCGCGATGGCTCTGTATTTTTACAAATTGCCCAATTCTGTAATCATTTGGTGGCCAATCACTCCGATCCCAATGCCACAGAATTCCAATCGAATGTGGTTACCTATCTATCGGGCGATTACTTGCATGAGAAGCAACGTAATCAAAACAATTTCAGTTTTACTGGAATTTTGGATTCGATACCAGTGCGTCATGATCAAATTGCAAATTTCTATGCGAAATTTAAGGCCAACAAAAAATGAATTCAATTAACGACGCAGGATTAACACCTGCATGGAAGAAATGCGCCGTTGTCGTCTTCGTCGTCGCCCTATAGCTGTCGTATCGAGTATAACATACAACACAACAACAAAAACAAATGTCAAATGAACGTTTATGAAAATGTGGGAATAACGTCTATCCCCAAATCAGCAAACAACAACAACAAAATTATCAATCCACAAAAACCTAAAAAAGTCGTCTAAAAACCAACAAACAACATCAAAAACAACAACAATACCACCATGCAAAACATAAATAGAATCGGTAATGGGCTTTAAACAGCAACAAACAACAACCAACAACAGCCATACATAACCCTTGTCGATTTTATAATACAATTATGTACCATGTAAGCTGCTGCTATAGCTTAGCTTGATTTCAAACAATGGAAAATTCTTAAGGATTTCACATCTGTTGAGGATTTTTAAGTTTGTACAGCCGAGGGAATGTAGCAGATGCCTAAAAAAGAAGAACTTGAATTTTGCGTCGTTCCAAAAAAAAAGCAAAAATATCCAAATTTTTGCCAAAAAGTTTTAAAATTTCCAGCTAAACAATTTTAATTTACTAAGCCAAGTTATGGGTATGTGTTTTTGGAGAAAAGAAAAAAAATCATTATCACAATTGAACCACCAGTAGACTTTTCTCATTGCAAAACAGAAATGGATGGATTATAATTGGTTTGTTTTAACTTGCTTAAAATTTTCCATTTTAAACAAGTTAAAAATGAAAACCTACCGGTTTCGTTCCATACATTATTAATACAACAAATAATAGAAACTCCTTAGACATATTCCATAACTTGAGTTTTGTTAAACGGGTAAATTTGAATAACAACAAAAAATGGATATGTTTTTAGACACCCAAGCTTAAGATACATGGAAGTTCTGCTAAAAACATAAAACTTGCCTGCTAAAACAAAATATCTGGTGAAGAAAGCATAAAACGTGTTCGAGTGAAGCGCAAAAAATCAACCAAATAATTTAGAGGGATTCCTTTGAATTTGAGAAGCAGAACTGTTTTAGGCTTTCACCAACACCACCAGTGTAAATCCAGTCAGGTTTAAAGCCGAACGTACAACATTGTTGACGTACGGCTTCTTTTGGAGTTTCATTGTTTATATTTTTTGTATATCAAATTAAAGGAAACTTACCGATATTTCTAACGCAAAGCAAGTAGTAGTTATTGTAAACCAGCAAAAAGGGGAAATAGAAGATATAAAAAATACATATATTCTTAGCAGAAAAAAATGATAACTTTTACTTCTCAACAACAATAGCAACGTTTATTTGTAAAAACAATCAATTTTCATTGAAATTCACTTCATAGTAGTACTAGCAGTAGTATGTTTAGCTTCAATAGTTTCTTTTAGCACACCATTATTTTGCTCTCTTTAAATGTCCTTCAACAATTTCGCAGTGCATTGTGCACCATATTCAAATGAAATTCAAGATGTTTCAATATAGTTTTTTGGATATTTTATCTTTTTTTTTTAATAAATAAATTTAAATTTCAAAATTATTACACTTTTCAAATCACCTAACTAATTTCCAACTACCATTCAATTAATATCAATTTTTGCTTTCAAAAAATATCTATTTTTTAAATTTTACATTTTTTAAATTTATCGTTTAGTTTCAAATTAATTTTTAATCAATTTTTTCTCTTAGTTTTTAATAAAAAATATCTTGAATTACATTTGAAAATGGTGCAGTGTTTATTTTTAACAAAATTTTCAAAATTTTATATTTAATGTCCTAGTTTTTCCATCAGCCACACTCAAAAAAAGTTTTCTATTTTCCCTTATTATTTTATCTTAAATTAATAAATAACACATTATTCTTTTTTTTTTTCAATTTGTAATAATTTTTATTAATAAATATATTCATATTTTAAATATTATTAATTATTAATCTATTATATTACAGAACAAATATTATTTAAAACCCATAACCCCAATCAGCAATATAACACGACAATATGTATTGACATAACAAAATATAATTTGAAAACAATTAATTTACAAGACTCTCCCCCAAACAATAATGAATAGTTTCATCATATTTATGTTTTATTAAACACTAATACGGACTTTGGGCAGAATTCATACTTAAAAGATAGAATATACATATATTGAATACTAATGGAGGAATGCCGGAGAACGCTTTAGAGTTTGAGAATTTTTTTAATCGGCCCAATTACGGTTGTCGTTTCTATAGTCGTCGTCGACGTTATGTGCAAGTCGCCCTCGCCGTCGCTTCGATTAAAAAATGGTTTTACGGTAAGACATAGAAGCGACATCGGCAGTTTAAAATAAAATTTGATAACAACTTAAAAAAAGTTGGCAACACTCCCTTGTTATTGACAAAAAATATAAAACGTTGTTTGTGGAATTATATTTATATTTTCCGGGAATCAAAATACCTACCTCTGGAAATTTTTTTGAAAAAATCGAAGAGTTTTTGCTAGCAAAAATGACTTCAATATTTCCAAGTTATTTTGCTGTTCTTATTTTTTTATGGTCAAATATCAAATACAAAATGTTAAACTATTAACGTCGATTAAAAAATAAAATGTCGTCACAATTTTTTATGGCGACAGATATTCTCTAAAAACGACTTCACGTCGACTGTTGTATCGACAATGATAATAGCAATCATTCATCGCTATCGACAAAAAAAGACAATCCTAATACCGTTATTGTCGCCTCGATTTCATTTTGCGACGACAACGGTCATAGGGCCGATTGTATCTTTATGCAGTTGGCTCTCAGCACCCTTGGGCATAGTCAACATGCTAAATGAGCCAGCCGTCCTACTCGATTTGCAAAACACATTTCATCATTTTAATGAATTGCACCGGATGGATGACATATTTTTCATTCTCAGCATGTCATGTACAACTACATTTTACTATGGAACAGTTTTCAACTGACAAATATGCTAACGTTTTTTTGATATTTTTAACATTTTATGTTTGAGTAACTTCAATATTTTTACTCACATACCTGAAACATCAGCTGAATCAAATTTTTTTGCTGATAAGCGGTAAGAGGTCTTTCCATAGCCCATCTATTCATTAGTCTATGCAATAACTTCAATTCAGTATAGTCTCTCATTAACCAAATTTGAAAATTCCATAAGCTATTAAGCACCTAATTGGCTTGATTTTAGATGTAATCCTTAAAATCGTCAAGCATTGTGTTCTCTCAATCTCCCTTTCTCATGACTAAGGAGCGTTTAAACATTCAATGTATTTTTTATCTTTTAAGTATGAAATCTGCCCAACTATTCAATATTAACATTTTTAATATTCATTTTAAAAATCTTAGTTTTATAAATACTCAAGATATTTAAATATTCATCAGTCAAGACACTAAATAAGAAATGACAATTTTTTAAATTTTTTGATGACAGAGACACAATTTTCTTGAAATGAAATTTGGAAACGAGTTGAAACTATTCATTCTCTCAGATTTCCTTTGAGAAAATTGTTAGAGTCTGACATCGAATATTTGGTTTCGAATTAGTTTGAGATTGACATGACACATAATAATTTTAAATACTATGATAATACATTTTTTTTGAATTGCAAAATATTGGCTTATATTACAAGTGATGGAAATCAAATGTTGGCCAAGTAACAATATGCATTTTAGAAATGAGAAAATAAATCTTTTCATAATATTCACGACATTTTCACAACGTTTTCTAAGGTGAGAATTTGAAATCTTTAAAATGTATGTCAAAATTAATGCCTTTTTAAATCGGATTTTATTTCCAAAAATAGGTTTGTAAAAGAAATAAGTCATCTATATATTATATATTTTGCTCTTGAAATAGATACTGATTTCAAAAAGTTGGGAATCCGATGATATAAATTTTAGTTCTAACTTAGAGTATAATCGAGTATTGTTTCCAATATCAACCATAATACCATGTTTGCACTTCGTCTATAACTAAATTTAATTTTCATTGCGTGCGAGAATGTCTTGATTATGTGCTTTTCAAAAAATTGGAAATGGAACTCATTTGCTAGATTGTGATCTCGCTATTCAATCTTAAAATTCCCCTAAGGCAAATTTTTTCCATGAAGCCAGTATAATTCATTTGCTGATTTATTGAAATGAGAAAAGCATCTCAAGGATTTTTGTTTTAGAGCGAGTTTATGATTTTGTTTTATTATGGTCAGTATTTAAAATCTTTGAAATCTGAGTTAAAATTAATGCCTTTTTTTTAAATAGGATTTAATTTCCATAAAAAGGTTTGTAAAAGAAAGAATAAATATGTTATCAAATTGAAAATCTTTCAAATTTTGGTTATATTCTTGAAATAGATACTGATTCAAAAAAAAAAAAAAAAAAATGGTATTTCAAGGGTATAAACTTAACATCTGACTTAGAACTTAATAGAATATTGTTTCCAATCTTAACTATGTTGACACTTCTTCTATAATCCAAATTTTATTTTCATGGCTTTCGAGAATGATTATGTGCTTTTAAAAGAATTGAATATGAAAATCATTTGCTAGATTGTGATGTTGCTATTCAATCTCAAAATTCCCCCAAGGCAATTTTTTTCCATAAAATTAGTAGCATATATTTGTTCTGGAAGCCATAATTCTATCCAACATTTGTTTAATTAATTACTTAATATGAGAAAAGCACTTGAAGGATTTTCGTTTTAGGGCCGGTTTCCCGAAAGGGAAGGAATGCGAAAGAGTTACACCAGTCATGTGTTTATTTTGCAATTTTTTTAATTAAACAAAAATTAAAAATTTTGAAAATAAATAAATTTGGTGAGTTTCTTTCGCATTCATATGCTGTTGATATGAATACATAAAAATTCCTAAATTTTAATGAATCGTGAACATTTATTCATTTCTAATTTGCTATATAGTCAAAAAATAATCTACACCACAATTATTTTGCCTTGCTTACAAATAATGAGTTGCTGTGGCATAATCAAATTTAGTTGCAAGGAACAGGGCTTATTACGAACAATACCATATCTATAAAACGCTAGATGAACACTATATAAAAGGTGGTAAAATTAATCTCGTGTTCGACCCTGTTCCACTAACCTATTTTTACTTTGCCATATCTCTATGTTCAGAAAAAAAGAGAAACATAAAATTAGAATTCCATCCAATTCAATATCAAAAGTAAAATTAAATGAAATCTGTCTACCGAAATCAAAACACAAAACCACACTATATACTAGACAACAACATTAACACACATACTAACCACAATATATACACAAACACACACACATAATACTAACAAAAAAGATAATTGGGTTTAATGAAAAAATACGTAAAAATGTCTATCGAGTAAGTTTTTATGGAGAGCTACAATGCCATCCTTAAGGAAATTTCCATTTAAGATATAAGAATTATTCCTTATAAATCAAATATCGACAGAAAAGTAACCATACATGTACAATTTATGAAAAAAGTTCCCAGAAAATATTTTGTTTTTTTGGTATTTTATGTATTTTTGGTATTTTTGGTATTTTATGGAAATTGAATCGAATTGATTTGGGGATATCGAAATTATGTATATATAGTTGCTTTTATTTTTAGAATATATACGGATTATTTTCGACTCTTTTTTAACTCAATTACAATTTAAATTAAATATTTTTGTCAAATAATCTAAAATTTATGAAAAAAGTTCCCCGAAATGACTTATTTTTAAAATTCTTCGTATGTTTTGGAAACTGATTCAAATCGATTTTTGAATATCGAAGTTACTTTTACTTTTAGAATTTATACGGATTCTTTGCAAAAATTTAAACTCAATTACAAGTCCAATCAAATGTCAAATAACGAACAAGTTCTTTGTTTTATTAGTTTTTTTTTATAATTGAAGTTATTCTATTTTGACAAATTGTAAATACATAATTTCGATACTTTGCAAATCGAAACGAAATAGTTTTGCTCACATGCCTGTATTTCTACAAATACTGACTAAACATTTAAAAGTTGATTTTAAAACAGTCAATTCCTTGAATTTTTTCCATTAAATATATTGGTTTCAGAATATATTTTAATTTTTAATATAATCCTTCCATTGGCGTTTAAGGTTTCTGCGGGAAACATATATTTAAGGTAAACCATTATATGCTGATAGTCAAAATTATATGAAAACAGCTTGACTTTCATGCCAAAAGACCACACCACTTATCGAATGGAGTTACTAAAATTTCAGATGGTTTTAAAGAAATTCTGTTTTTTTTTTTTGTATTTGATATAAATGTAATGTGTTAATTTTCATAAAAATAAAGCTCGATAGCACCAAAAAAAGTTAAATTGTTCAATCATTTCACTTGGTGGGTAAATGAGGTAAGTATTACACTATAGGTATGTTTGGTTACGTTTTCTTTAAAAATTTGTACAGCAATTTCTTTTTCAGAAAGTAAGGTAGTGGTATTCTCTTTTGTAAGAAAACTTTAAAATCGGAAACATACAGTGTCCTATTGAAAACTTGTATTTTATTATTTTTTTATTTAAATTTGATTTTACCAAGATTTTGTATTTTATTAAAATAGAAAAGAAAATCAAGAAATAAAGGAAGACTTTTCGAATTGGCGATTTACAAAATAAAAATGTTTTTAAATTGCCTACATAAATTAATTTTAAAAATAGCTCATTCAATCTCAAAGAAAGAAGAAAATCTGAAATTTATTGGCGTATACTATGAATATTTAGACAACGGAATGTAATTTTTGTTGTTTTATCCAGGTGGTTCCCAGCACGCTTTTGCATAGTCAACATGCGATTAAGCCAGCCGACCTACTCGTCAACGAAAACACATTTCATCGTTGCATTGTATGCGCATTTTTGGATGCCTTCATATTATACTCAATTGTATTTTATTATGGAAAAGTTTTCAACTGACAAATATCTTACAGTTGTTAATATTTTTACTTTTTAAAATTGAGTGACTTTAATATTTTCAGTCATACCCCTGAAACGACATCTACTGTTCCGATTTTTTTCGATGGGAAGGATTGGAGCATTCCTTGGTTATATATTCATTAGTCTATGTGATTGCAAGAAGAAATGTCGGATACACTGACTTTTTGGATGGCTAATTTGATTTATTTTGGAAAATTGTTAAATAGCTGTACTATTTGGTATAAAGGCAATCGAATTTTACCGGCTTATGCTTCAATGTTTCAGCCACTTTTCAAATAGAATTAAGTAAAGTGTTGAAGTGATAGGCGAAGGCGACTGACGTGTATTATTATTATCTCTTTTTATATTTTCAGCCATATGGCTAGAGAGCGTATATATCATTTGATAAGGACAAAACGTGCCTCATCGACATAACGGTTTTAGACCCTAGTTCTCTTTGGAGTCGATCTAGCGATGTCCGTCGGTCTGTCTGGCTGGTGCGCACGATAACTCTTAAAGGGAGTATCAGATTTGATCCAAACTGGGATTATTATTGTCAAATTTAGATCGAGCTCGGAGATGGGCAATATCGGTCCACACATTCTGGTAACTTCACACAAAAAGTCAACATTTTCCAAGAAAATAATTTAACGAACGAGCGTGGACAATATCGGCCCACTCCATTAAGTACCTCACCCACAAAGTGTCCGTTTGTCTTCAAATTGCACACATCAAAATATATCTGATCAGCCTAAGGTCTTCAGCAAAGATGGAATATATCGGCCCACTCCTTCTGGTACCCTCACCATAAAGGGTCAACATTTCGAATATCCATGAAGCTTATAAAAAACGATATTACCATCCGATTCCATTCAGACTTGGCACATTTCATGATCAACACAACATCTGTTTTGAAGATGGTAGAGATCGGACCCCTATATGGGGTTCAACAATGCTGAAATAATGCAAAATAAGCATCCAACTCTCACGTATTTCTGCTAACACGAGATCTGTTGTGAAGATGATATATATCTGCGAACTCCTTCTGTTATTCTACCCCCAAAGGTCTCAATTTTCAATACTTTTGTCTCTCATAACTTGCGAAACAAGTCAGCGATTCGTTACAACTTGTTATCTCTTAATATATCTCTCAACCAAAAACCTGAGATGAATATGGAATTTATGATTTCGCATAAAATTGGATATAAATGTTCGATTTTCTTGTAATTTTGCCAATACCAACATTTATACCCTACACCACTGGTGGTCAGGGCATTGTGTGTTTGTGCATTTGTTTGTAACACAGGCAAAAGGAAACGAGACAGACCCATAGTTCCTTTTGATGATCTGCATAGAATCACATTCTGAGTCGATTTATGCATGTCCGTCCGTCCGTCTGTCCATGCATTTTTGTAAACAAACACAGGTCGCATTTATTGCCCAATCCAGATGAAATTTTGAACAAGTCA